GTGTGCACTCGCCAGATAGGCAGAGTGAGACAGAGAGACAGAAAGCGAGAAATCACCCCCCAGGGGGGATAGCCACGCCGCAATCCCTTCTCCTCCATTCTCCTCTCAGGATCTTGAGCACGCACACACACACGCCCGACGTGAGTTTACACCACCGGGTCCGGGATTCGAACCGCGGTCAACTACATGGGAGTCCAGTGACATAGCCATTACAGTAACTGCTGGTCCCAAAGGTATACATTTTATTTAATATGTACCTATATACACAAAAGCCTTCAGATTGAAGATCCAAGGATCTAGAAGAAGCTATCAGATTTTATGCTTAGGTTTTATGACTTAGGATATCCATGTAGAAATTGACTATGTGTCAAGGCCTGTTTGATGGGAGGTAAACCTGAATGGATGTGGCAGTGAATTAGAAAGAAGACACACAGTCACACACCTAGAAAAAAGTGGGGGTTGGGTGGTTTGGGAGTTTTTCATAGAGATAGCCATGGCTCTGAGCCATTTGTAGATCTTTTTTTTTAAGGCAGGAATCTTTTTAAATTTCACTTTATTTATTTGTTTATTTTCATTTGACCAGAGAGAAATAGAGTGAGAGAGAAAGAGAGGAAAAAGCAAGCCGCCAGGTCTGGGACTCAAACTGCCATTAGCCATGTGGGAGTCCAGTACCCCTAACCACCAGGCCACCTGCCAGCCCCTAGGTTTATTTTTTTATAGGGCAAAAGGGGGTGTAGCAGGATGTAAAGTTGGGTGTTTTGTTATCAACCGAAGCTGTGGAATATTTTGTGTCTTGTAGTTTTGATCTGGCCTCTTTCTGTCTCTCTTGGCTCACTCTGGCTGATACACAGTTTCTGTTTTCTCTAGCCTTGTGGGGTGGGCCCAAGTCCTGGGAAACTGCCCATCCTCAAAGGCTATCCGTGTTCTGTCCGGGTCAGCTGTTCCCTCAACTATGCACCATCCTTTCCTCTCTCCCATATGGGTCAGGGCCCTTTTGGAGGGAGGATCTTATTATATAATATCAGGCAAAGTAAGTTGGAGAATTTATGGCCAATCCTTACATAAAAAGCTGGGGGAAGTTAGAATAATATTTTTAGGTTTTATGACTGGCTTGAGGAAAGGGCTTCTAGTTTCTGTGACCTGCTTTGGGAAGAGAGATTCCAGTTTGTATGTCTTGTCTCAAGGGACAACAAGAGGTGAGAAATGGGCAGGAGAGGGCAGAGAGAAACTCCGCTTCTGAGGCTGCTCGTAAGACCTGACTGATTCCAGGATATTGTCTTCTGAGTTTCTGGTAGTTTTTGTTGCATACTTTTTTTTATTTTTTTACTTTTATATAGTAGTTGCAAACTTTTCTATGACGTTTAGGTTTTATATAATAGTTCAGAAAGAACTTCTTTCAAGTTTATAGAAGAATTTCCTGTTTCTTTTAGTCTTTGTTTTTTTAATAGTTTCACACTTAAATATTTACATCAAGAAATAATCCTCACATAAAATGGGATCTATGGATCCAGCTTTGTTTAATTTTTTAGGCATATCCCTGATTATCCT